TACTTACTTTGCGTTCATTCTTTTGAACATTATGGATAGTAAAAGCAACATTGCCAAATATAGTAAATTCTCCCCAATTTTCTTTCAGCTTGTAAACAGAAATGGACAATTTGGGAAGAGAAGATTATTCGAGTCTATTCGAGCCTCGCGGCTCATTTTTATAGTTATAAATTCAACTGAATCGTCCACTTTTGTTTATTACAAGGTGAAAGAAAATTAAGGCGAATTTACTTTACTTTTTTTTTTAAAGACGTATTTGTATATTCCAAGGAATCGTGTAATTTTAAAATTAGCTCTTTCAAAATGGTTACCTGGCTGTAGCCTCCCTCGCAGCAGCCTCCTTGGCCAGGGCGACCTTCTGCTGGACGACGGCAGCGTGCTTAGCCTCCGCCACCCTCTGCTGTGCCAAGTTCACATTTTGGTTCGCGTCTTTGGCGTGTTGAATCGCTCTGATAACGTCCGGCGGATAGGCGATGCTTGGAGTACCAGGTGCTGGATCCCTCAGTGCCTGTCAAAGATAATTACACAATAACAATTAACACAATTTTATACATAATTTATTTGAGGCGATGCTATATTCGCCGAGAAAGTATGCTATATATATACTATACTATGCTATAATATACTATACTATGTATACTATACTATGCTATAATATATTATACTGTATACATATATACTATTCTATGCTATAATATAATATACTATAATTTTGGGACACCCTGTATACTATACTATACTATATACTCAGTGTACCTGAATGGCGACGTCGTGCGTAGCCTGAACCTGGACCTGCGTCAAGGGGACATCGGGAACACCCGAAGGGCTCCAAGAAGTCGATCCGAAACTGGTCGGCGACCACGACGGAGCGGAGAAAATGGGCGCGACGCCGAAGAAATCGTAACTAGACGGTCCAAACAAGGCCACCCCTCTTTTCTCTTTCTTCGATACCGATTTCGGCTCTGCCACGTTGGCCAGTGCGACGACAACGAAGGCAACAAAGATCTGTAAATATATTAATAAATAATATATTAATTAGTAATAAATATATTGATAAATAATATATTAATTAGTAATAAATATATTGACAAATAATACATTAATTAGTAGTAACTATATTAATAAATAATATATTAATTAGTAATAAATATATTAATAAATAATATATTAATTAATAATATATATATATTATTAAACGCATTCACACAGCTGATCGAGAGATCGGTTGTATTTTAAGCAAAAAAAAAGAGAAAAATGAAAATTTAAACTGCGACTGTTCACCGTGAAGAAGGTGTTCATCTTGGTAGATTTGTGGACGACGGTGTCGATGATACTGAATTCTCCAAGTCGAAGGACGCGTATATATACAGATTCGGATTCGCGGGGGAACGCTCTATTCGCTTCGGCGTAATGACAAAATTAATGAGGACCATTAGGGGGAACGGGAAAAATTGAAATACCGCGACAGAATTACAGGCCTGTATTGTTTAATGACGATTCGCCGCGTTCGCGTTCCCGTACAATCACCGGCCCGGGAGGCCGGTTATCCGACTTGAAATTGATGGACACCGATAACTTTTATCTACGGTGCCCAGGAAATCATTGAACCAGTGACTGCAACCTGTCTGCTTCCGGTTCGGCTCCTTTGTCATAGAGAAATGGCGAATTTGTTGGACCAAAAATCTGTGCAAAAGACGTGGAACGGACTTTCGATATTGAAATAATTAATTGGAAGCAGTCGATTAAAACAGCTGTATCGTTTCGGTTTCTTAAAATAGAAGAACGCGGTTCTATTGGATCCGAGTGCACAGTTCGAGTCATTCAAGCGTCTCGTTCGTCTCGTTCGTTCGTCTAAATCATTATAAAAATGTAATGTGGAGTTTGCAATTAAAGAACATCTTTTTTCCAATTGTTCCTAAACTTGTAAAGAAAAATGGATAATTTGGGAAGAGGAGATACGATTAGCCTCGTGGCTCATTTTTATAATTGCTAATTTACTAATAACGTTAATTACTAATTCCTAATTATTGTCAAGGTTATTTGAAAGAAAAATGGACAATTTGAGAAAAGCAGATACATCTGTTCGACTATTTTACAGTCGATTAATATGACTATCTTACAGTCACCGATTGTCAATAACTATAAAAACGTGCCCCGAGGCTCGAACAATCGTATCTCCTCTCCTGAAATTGTCCATTTTTCTCTACAAGATGGGGGACAATCGAAGAGAATTTACTGTACTTAGTCCTTGCTTTCCACCGAAAATGTAAATCACGCAGCGATTTCATTTCAAGCTTTGATACAGGAAGAAAATTTGACTACAAAATAGAGGAAAAGATCTACGAATATTTGTCATACTTGTATTTGTAACAGAACGAAAACATACATACAGATAGATATAACAACACTAACATACATTAAATACGTTCTTACAATCTATTAGCAAATTCTGAATTTGTATTGTTAACAGTCACTTAATTATAGGTACCGTTGCACGCACTTTTTTTTAATTAGCAACGATCATTCTGTTCCGAACGCTTCTCACATTTTCGGGCAACTTGTATCCGAAGCCGCCATTATAGACTACTCGCGTCAAAACGTCGGAGCCTTGACCCTCGTTATCTCTGAAACCTCGAGGAATTTTACGGTAATTGAAGCTGCTTCGACTTCCTTGTCCGGTAGAGTCTTCGGGATCGTGATTGTCCTCGTTCCTATAAGACGATTTCGGAGCATAAACATCGTCCGACTCCTCTTTCACATATTCTGAAATCACATATAAGGTTTATACAGGGTGTCCCAAAAATGTCTCGCAATCCGAAAGTAGGGGATTCCTGAGATCATTTGAAGCAACTTTTTCCTTAACGAAAATGCAATCCGCGGCTTCGTTTACGAGTTATTAACGAAAAACAGTGCGCCAATCAGAGGCGAGATCATCTGGCGCGAGACGGCCGAGCCAATGAGCGGAACTGGGCGCCGTGCACTCGTTGGCTGGGCCGCCGCGCGCCAGCCAAGCTCGCCTCTTATTGGTCAGTGTTTTTCGTTAATAACTAGTAAACGAAGCGTCGGAGAAGANTTGTTCCTAAACTTGTAAAGAAAAATGGATAATTTGGGAAGAGGAGATACGATTAGCCTCGTGGCTCATTTTTATAATTGCTAATTTACTAATAACGTTAATTACTAATTCCTAATTATTGTCAAGGTTATTTGAAAGAAAAATGGACAATTTGAGAAAAGCAGATACATCTGTTCGACTATTTTACAGTCGATTAATATGACTATCTTACAGTCACCGATTGTCAATAACTATAAAAACGTGCCCCGAGGCTCGAACAATCGTATCTCCTCTCCTGAAATTGTCCATTTTTCTCTACAAGATGGGGGACAATCGAAGAGAATTTACTGTACTTAGTCCTTGCTTTCCACCGAAAATGTAAATCACGCAGCGATTTCATTTCAAGCTTTGATACAGGAAGAAAATTTGACTACAAAATAGAGGAAAAGATCTACGAATATTTGTCATACTTGTATTTGTAACAGAACGAAAACATACATACAGATAGATATAACAACACTAACATACATTAAATACGTTCTTACAATCTATTAGCAAATTCTGAATTTGTATTGTTAACAGTCACTTAATTATAGGTACCGTTGCACGCACTTTTTTTTAATTAGCAACGATCATTCTGTTCCGAACGCTTCTCACATTTTCGGGCAACTTGTATCCGAAGCCGCCATTATAGACTACTCGCGTCAAAACGTCGGAGCCTTGACCCTCGTTATCTCTGAAACCTCGAGGAATTTTACGGTAATTGAAGCTGCTTCGACTTCCTTGTCCGGTAGAGTCTTCGGGATCGTGATTGTCCTCGTTCCTATAAGACGATTTCGGAGCATAAACATCGTCCGACTCCTCTTTCACATATTCTGAAATCACATATAAGGTTTATACAGGGTGTCCCAAAAATGTCTCGCAATCCGAAAGTAGGGGATTCCTGAGATCATTTGAAGCAACTTTTTCCTTAACGAAAATGCAATCCGCGGCTTCGTTTACGAGTTATTAACGAAAAACAGTGCGCCAATCAGAGGCGAGATCATCTGGCGCGAGACGGCCGAGCCAATGAGCGGAACTGGGCGCCGTGCACTCGTTGGCTGGGCCGCCGCGCGCCAGCCAAGCTCGCCTCTTATTGGTCAGTGTTTTTCGTTAATAACTAGTAAACGAAGCGTCGGAGAAGATTTTCGCAAAGAAAAAAGTTGCTTCAAATGATCTCAGGAATCTCCCATTTCCGGATTGCGAGTCATTTTCGGGACACCCTGCATGTAGCAATTATTTCCATTAATAATCATAAAATCGATTTCTTGAACAAATTCGACCTACTCTGCTTCGGCGATTCTCTTCCGTAAGAGCCTCCAAAGTCGTCGTCGTAATTTTTCTCGTAATATTTGGGCCCATAGGAATCGTCCTCGGCCTTCTGTCTCTCGTAATCGTAATTACCATCGTCGTCCTCATTTTCCTGTTTACCATGAAGAGGCTTCGACGAGCTTCCATCGGAATGATACTTCCCTGACGAGTTGACTTCCTCGTTGTCGTCGTCGTCGACGTCGTCGTTCGACGACGAATAATCACTGTACTTCGTATACGGTTTCTCTTCAGCCACTTCCTCGTGGTTCCGACTCGAATACTTGCCAAACTTTTCATCGTATTGTTTGAACGGGAAGTAACTGGAGGGCTTGAAATTGCCTTCCATCTGAGAGGGTTTAAACTGCTTATCCGGCTTCGGCTCGTAGTCGTCGTCGCCGCTGTTACCCGGCCCATAATCCTTGCCCGAATCTACGGAAACGAACGTCGTCCGTTTTCAAAATCGATTTTAATACACTCCCGTGCGAAGAACAATTTCTTTGCTTAGAGATGCTTCCTCGAGCTAATTTATCGTAAATTGTTACGGTCGCGTGGCGAACGATGGAGAAAAAGACCATGCAACTTGAAAGAGAAGCTAGAACGAAGTACAGGGATTTCTCCCTGATTCGCGCTCAGATTGCGCACAAAAATGGACAATTTGGGGAGAGGTGATACGATTGTTCGAGCCTCGCGGATCGCTTTTATGGTTACCGATTATTGGATTATATTCAGTTATGGAAATAACTTTAATACTTTTTACTATTCGAACTTTCGATTAGAACTTTTATTGAATTGAAGAAGGTATCAAATATGTTCTCTCTTTATGAGATGTCTGCGTTAACTGTTGCGGTTCAACTCGGTAAAAATAGTAGCGATTAGAAAAGACAAAGTACAGAATCACATGTCTTCACGATTAAATCGTATCAGCTGGTAAATTAAAAACTATTTGCTAGATTGATTTTTGTGTTCAACCTATTTGTTGAAATTCAACATCGATTCTCAACAATTAGAAAAACGAGGTGCAAGGCTCGAATAGTCGTACCTCCTCTTCCCAAATTGTCCAGTTTTGTGCGCAATCTGAGCGCGAATTAGGGAGAAATTACTCCATTCTTAAACTTATAGTTTCAAATGCTTAAGATTTCGCATGCTAGAGCTTGCATCAATTTTTTTATTCAGGATGTCTCAAAAATGTCTCGCAATCTGGAAATTGGGGTTGCTGAGATCATTTGAAGCAACTTTTTCCTTAGCGAAAATGCAATCCGAAGCTTCGTTTACGAGTTATTAACGAAAAACAGTGACCAATCAGAGGCGAGCTCGGCTGACGCGCGTCAGACCAGCCAACGAGCGCGCGAAGCCCAGTTCGGCTCATTGGCCCGGCTAGCGCAAGACGGCCGAGCTCGCCTCTTATTGGTCAGCATTTATTCGTTAATAATTCGCAAACGAAGCTTCGGATTGCATTTTCGCTAAGGAAAAAGTTACTTAAAATGACCTAAGGAACCCCACTTTTCAGATTGTGAGACATTTTTAGAGCACCTTGTATTTCAATCTTTTCATTTATTTAGAAAACTTAGCACTTTGATTGCCTCATAATCCATATGCATATAGGTGATCGAATGATTCGCCCAGATTTGAAAATTAATTCAAATCTGTTATCAATATATTATTAATGTAATTAATCTGTATTTCCAGTTATTAAAATCTGTAATCCAGTTATTAATATAATTAATCTGTATTCCAAGTTATTAAGATCTGTAATCCAGCTATTAATATAATTAATCTGTTATATTTCCCAAATTTTATTAGAATTCGTGAAACGTAAGAATATTGAAAAAGTAATTGATATCATAAAACTAAACTTCTCAATTTTAACTTATTCGAACAAAGTGCTTCAATTTTATAAAATTTTTGAGTTTATTATGTGCCAATCAAAGCGTCAAGAATACCACCATAATTGATCGATATATCAATAAATTAAAGTAAACGATTTCTCAGTCTAAGCAAATTACTTCTAATAACACATCGTTTCCCTCTTCGTCTTTAATTTCATTACAAACCATCAACGCCCTCGTCGTCCTCGTCGTCGTCATCGTCCATTTTAGGCGGAGGTATCGGTTTCTTCTTGTCGATAACCTCCACGTCGGTCCTAATCTCCTGCAGCGGGCCGAGGTTCCGATGCCCGCCCACAGGCTGTACGTTTCCACTGCCAAAGTGTAACTGCGGTTGCATTTGAAGGGGCTCGTAGCCGATCGCTGAAAACCCGCCGACGGTTGGGTGAACCTGCACTGCGGCACCCTTGAACTGCGGGAACTGTGGATTGCTGTTGGCGATCGGAATGGGAATCACCTGGCCTTGGAATCTGGAAAACGGAGACAAGAAGGGCGCGCCCGGCTGCGCGTTGTTCAATTTTGGCGTTCTTTCCGGGTAACCGAACTGATCGACTGGACTCAGGATCAAAGGCTGTGCTTGATAATTATTGAAGTAGGCGGGGTGATTGTTGTGCGCTTGCAGAATCGACGACGCCTTTTTGTTGTACTGATTTTGCACAGACGGCGAGAACAGTTGGGGTCCCGTGGCTTTTGACAGCGGATAAGCAGTTTTGTACACGGGAAATTGTAGGTTAGGGGATGAACTTGTTACGTGAACTCCTGCAAATTAAATGAGATTAATATTTATTATATTATATATTATATTTATTATTAGTATATTATTATTATTATTACTATATTATATATCATATTTATTATTAGTGTATTATTATTATATTACATTATATATTATATTTATTATTAGTATATTATTATTATTATTACTATATTATATATCATATTTATTATTAGTGTATTATTATTATATTACATTATATATTATATTTATTATTAGTATATTATTATTATATTACATTATATATTATATTTATTATTAGTATATTATTATTATATTACATTATATATTATATTTATTATTAGTATATTACTATTATATTACATTATATATTATATTTATTAGTAGTACAATATTATTATATTATATTATATATTATATTTATTATTAGTACAATATTATTATATTATATTATTATTATTTAAGGTAATATTCGACAAAATTAAGATTGAAAAGTTACGTTCTCTGGCATCAATTACTTTCTCGACGTTCTTAGGTTCCGCGGATTTTAATAAAAATTAGGAAATTATGACAGACATGCGGGGAACATAATTTTAATATAATAAATAATAACCTAATAACATAATAAATAAGATAACACAATAAACAATCCCGTCACTCGCGTGAAGGTGAAGCGATAGTTAAATTCTCAAAGAATGCAGAAGTTGATTCGACGAGCATTCTTTACGGTTTTATTATACTTCGTCGATAAATTGCGGGTTTTATGCATCCGACGGAAACGAATGGGCGCAATTTAAACCGGTAGACTAAGATTAGTGATCGACTGGTATACTAATCTAGACTGATACCGATCTGATCAAAACGATCAGCAGCACGTTATTTGTTTCAAAGCTGTCCTTTAACTTCTAAAAAGATGCTTTCGTCGAAAACGCTCGAATAAATTTCTTAACCTTGACATACGCTATTATAAAAATAGCATAAACGAATGCCGCCTTTTTATCGTTACAAAGCAACACGCGTTAGCTACGTTAGCTACTTTTAGGACTCGCTTCGATATGAAAAAGAAAAAATGCAACGTGAAAGCACTGAGAAAAAATCATGCGTCGTACCTGCGTTCTGATTAAGCGTCACCTGTCTCACGGGCGGACCCTCGTTCGCCACTTTGTAGCCAGCGGACATGGTAAACAGATCGCCGAAATATGGCGGCGACTGGTCCACGGGTTGCGCGATCGCGTACGGAACAGGCGATTTCGGTCCGCTCTCGTAAACTCGCGGACCAGGCTTCTCTTTGTGATAACTCGATTTCGCGTTGCCGTCTTGGACGCCGCGTGAATTCTGCGGCTTCGATTGCCGGTGCACGTGTTCCCGTTGACCCCCGTGACCCCCGTCGATGATCCCTTGCTTCGGTTTCGCGTAACTGGAAAGCAGAGGCTGGCGTTCCGCCGCCGCTATCGCCGAGTGCAACGCCGGTACGAGCAGCGCGGCGTAAATAATCTGCAATGTATATTCGAAGTTTTAAGGGAGACGTTTTCGAGAATAACACGTCACTCAATAAGTCTCCGGTATGACACGTACAGTAATGTCTCCCTTATTGACGCTTAGATTGCGCAGAAAAATGGACAATCTGGGAAGAGGAGACACGATTGAATTGAGCCTTGCGCCTCGTTTTACAGTTACGAATTATCAACAACTATAAAGGGAGTCGCAAGGCTCGAATAATCGCATCTCCTCTTCCAAAATTGTCCATTTTTGTGGATAATCCGAGCGTCAATTACAGAGAGATTACTGTACAGTAATGTCTCCCTTATTGACGCTTAGATTGCGCAGAAAAATGGACAATCTGGGAAGACGAGACACGATTGAATTGAGCCTTGCGCCTCGTTTTACAGTTACGAATTATCAACAACTATAAAGGGAGTCGCAAGGCTCGAATAATCGCATCTCCGGTTCCAAAATTGTCCATTTTTCTGGACAATCCGAGCGTCAATTAGAGAGACGATATGGCAACACTGTTGACAAAGCTATATGATTTCTGGATAGTAGCATTCTCCGAACGATACATGTGAAAATTTTATGACATTTTGATGATTAGTTTACAGGTTATAAGTGGTTTTAGTGATCCCAGTTTTGTAATTTTTAGAACAATGGTTAGAAAAGAATTTCGTATATTGATTAAACATTGTTTTTCGATGGGGAAAAATACTGTTGAAGCTAAACAGTGGCTTGATAAGCGTTACGAAGACTCTGCACCAGGGAAATCAACTATTATCGACTGGTATGCGAAAATTAAACGCGGTCGTACGAAAACCGATGATGCTGAACCGGTGCTCTGGTCGCCGAAAATCGGCAGTTGTTCCGAAAAACATAAAAAAAGTCCACGAAATAGTTTTGAAAGACCGTATAGTGAAATCGCGCGAGATAGCTGACCCCTTAAAGATATCAGAAGACAGCGTGTTTACGATTTTACACAACAATTTGAGCATGTGTAAATTGCTTTCGAAGTACAGTTATGTCTCCCTTACTGTCGCTCAGATTCTGGAGAGAAATGGACAATCTGGGA